TATATATATATATATATATATATATGTATATGCGAGTGTGTGTTCATAATGGGAAATAAAGATGAATATATAAATAAATTTTATCACAATATATTAATTCTATGTATTATTAGACCTAATTTAAATTGGTTGATTTTGAGACTTGTAGATAATTTAATTATGTGTTAAAAGAAGAAGAAAAACAAAGAAGGAAGAAATAAGAAAGTTGCATAACCAACTTTCGTAGGTTGAAGAAGATGGGATTTTGGAAATTATGGAAACATCCCTTTAGTTTTAAAGAGCTTTATTTTAACCTCTTTATTCTTCTAAACTTAATTTTAAGTACATTTTTACTTGGTAAATTACAAGAACAGAATTCTGGAAAATTTATGGATGCCCGAAAATAGAAAATTCGTTTTTCAAGAAAATTATACTTTGACCCCAAAAATTTCAAAAATTATGATTTGCCCTCAAAACTTCATAAACTTTTTTCAAACAGCCCATAATACTTTCATACCCTATTACCTCATATTATAAAGGATATTTATATGTAAAAGATATATTAAGTATATATCAATGAGTGGAAGGTATAAAAATTAAATATAAAATCGCGAAACGACGAAGTTAAAAATAGGGATTGATTGTGATATGTTATTTTGGATTAGGTGGTGATTGCATTGAGGTTGAAAAAGAGTGCTTTGAATTGAATTTTGAAAATCAAGGTGAGTAATTTACTACTTCTTTTAAGAGGATTTTCTATATTAAACTTGTGGGTGCGTGTGTGTGAATTTTTCATATATATGATATATGTTAATGTTTGGGGTTGCAATTGTGAATTGTTATACATGTGAATTTGAAAAGTTCACGGGATAATTTCATATCATTGCTTAAATGTGTTTTGGTGATGAAAGATAAATTTTATGTGCGATGGGACTAAAACAACAGTTTTAGTATTTGTTGAAATCATGTTTTATGAGAAGGGAACTGGGTTACCAGGTCTAAATGGCAACGAGATTGTATACCGGCGTGGTCAGTATAGGAATGTGCACATAGGAGCCAGTTATCAAGTTAGTAGTAACAAGAGACGAGGTCAGTCATCAGGCTAGTGATGACAAGAGACGAGACCAGTTACCAAGCTAGTGGTAACAAATATGATTTGACAAATGTATTTGAGATTGAGTACGTGTGTGTGAGTATTTTGAGTTATAAATGTCTTTTCATTTATAAAGTTATTCGTAATAATTAGATTATTTTGTTTACATGATTATGTGGAAGGGATTGAGGTACAATTTGTTGTACTTATGTATGTATCAAAATTGATTTTTCAGTAATGCTACAGTAACCAAATTTTGGGACCAAATTTGGAGCCTAAATGACATGACAGCTTACTTGGGCTGATTTTTTTAGTGTCATGTCATTTGAGCCCCAATAAAAATCTCAAATAATATGTTGTCATGTCATTTAGGTTCTAAATTTGGTCCCAAAATTTGGTCAATGTATCATTACTCTTTATTTTTGTATATAAATTGTGGGATTTATTTTCACACCTCATTAGAGGTGGTTGCTATTCACGGGTCTTTGTGCTCACCCAAACATTTAACATTTTTCAGGTGAGAATCAGGAGGAAGAGTAAATCCCCGAATAGACAAAGGATTAGAAGAATTGAAGATTTATTTTATTGTAAGTTTTCAAGAATGAATGTCTTTTATGATTTTGAGACAAATATTTAATTGCTTTGGGAATAATGTTGCTCGTGTTTAAACTTTAAAGTAGTGAACCTTATAGTTTAGTTATTGTTTTACATGAGTTTAATAATAATGTTGGTGATGTTTAGTTTATTACTCTGGTGTTCATTAGGTCGATGAATTGAATCACTTTATTATTTGTCTTCCGTTATATTTTATATTTATTATGCACATAGTTGGTTGATTAAGACCTTGGTGGCCGGTCCACTGCCCACCCTATGTGATCTGGGGTGAGGGTGTGACAATAAGACCAAGTGGGTGGAGAGAGAACCTTATGCTTACTAGAAAGGTAATGCTAGAGTTAGCCTAACAAGACAAGACCTCATGAAGTGTTACATCATAGACAAACAGGACTAGAATGCTCAGTTATATACCCTGGTAATAACTCTACTCTCTGAAATTCTAGTTCCACCCAAGCATCATTGGTTTAGTAGGCAAACAAGAGAAAAGACATAAATTTATGCCTCCTAACAATTTAAGTTCCACTCGATGCATGTAATTTGCAAATAACTGCATATATCCAAAACTTGAATTTATAATTCCAATAATGGAGGGGAGGACGCCACTCAGCAACTAGGGTGGGTTCAATGCCTAACAAAAATGGCCAAAAGCAAATAGGCAAAAAAGAGATGTATGGCTAAAGGAGGGAGGGAAAGATCGCATGCATAGAGATTCTGTCTGTCGAAGGGACATCTAAGGCTAAGAAAGAATTCAAATAAGTATATTACGGAGAGAAATGGTGATGATCTCGTCTGGCTTGCTTGCTGGAAGAGAGGAAGCTTCTCTGGACCACCTTTTCCAGCCAAATAGTAAGCGATTGCGTGCTTGTTATAATCTCGAAGGCCAAAAGGAAAAGATCTAGCCAAACGACGAGGTGAACTAGTCAAAATAAGAAGTGACAAGTTTCTGGTGGCCATTTAGCATGTCTATACTATGATTGTGTGAATTCCAATTTATTGTGTCGACTCCAAGGTCCAAGAAACATCATACAGTCATGCTGTAAATTCGGCACAATACCGAGACGTTTAAAAATTTACGATTTTATTGGATCAAAATTATTATTCAGTATGGTTCATAAAGGTTATGATTGACACTAGCATGTTGTGGATCAATTCTAATTAAGTTGATTAAGCCGTTGTTGTAGATATGATATCAAAAAATAACATGTAGTTATAATTAGAATTTTTGCAGGACTGGAATCACGAGTATCGAAAAGGGTTCAAGCATACCAATTTAGCCAGCCTATGTCTACACAGGTGGGCCATTATAACTCTCTCCCCTCTTCATCATTGTTTAGTTTTTTTGGCTCAATTCATGCAGATACAAGATCTATGTTGAAGGAGTTGCATGGTCTGTGAGTGAAAAGTATATTCTTGCCAGTGATTCTATGACTTTGCTCCTAAATTCTCGTTACTATGATTTCTTCACAAGAAGTTTGCCACCTATGGTCCACTACTGGCCAATAAGCCAGAATAACAAGTGCCAATCAATTAAATTTGCAGTTGACTGGGGAAACACTCATCCAGAAAAAGGTGACTTGTCTATCTCTAACATGCATCTATATATGTTTTGGGGTTAACCATTGAAATTGTTTACTTTAACCTATTAGTTTCGTACAAAATAAACATATCGTGTTGAAAATTGTCAACCTCGTGTATGTGCATGTTAAATCATGTGTATTCTACTTAATTCTCTCTCTCTCTCTCTCCCCAACTCCACTGTGAGTCAGGCACAAGAGATTTGAAAGGAAGGAAGCAAATTCATTGAGGAGGAGCTAAAGATGGAGTATGTATATGACTACATGTTCCACTTGCTGAATGAATATGCAAAGCTCTTGAAGTATAAACCCACTGTACCTCCAGGAGCCGTTGAAGTCTGCTCAGAGACAATGGTCTGCAATGCCAAAGGGTTAGATAGAGAGTTCATGATAGAATCCATGGTGAAGAGTGCTTCCAATAAAAGACCTTGCACCATGCCTCCTCCCTATAATGATTCTGATCTTTAAGCTTTTCTTGAGAGAAAAGTAAATCTAACAGACAAAGTGAAAATGTGGGAAGGAAGTGGGAATTTTAGTGGCTTTCAATTCTGATTAGCAACTTTTTTTTTTGTGCCAATTTTGTAACCTAAGTGTCATGGGTTTAGGTGTTATAAGTTTGGGTTGTGGTACCGCCTTTGAGTGTGTATAGTAAAATTGCATATACTTGATTCTTCTCTTGACTCATTCCGACACGTGCTTCAAGCTAAAAGAACTTAGTCCTAGATAACTACATTTGTTTCCCTCTCTCCCTCTCTATGACTAATGGAAAAAAGTGATTTATTATTCATACAATTGGTATATTATTTTTATTTTTTGTAAAACAATGTAAATATATCGCCTTTTATTCCTCGGGTTGATTTAAGCATTGAGCAAATCAGACCTAAGGATGAATTGTAGATTTGAGTTTGAGAGTTAATCTTTTGAAAAGAAAAAAAAAAAAATATATATATATATATATATATATATATAAATCACTCGTCTCTCAGACTCTGTCATAGGTGAGAGCTGGTTACTTGCACCTAGAAAATAACTATATAACTATAGATTATCTATAGTAACCACCTATAATTTCCTCTGTCATTATATTTAACTGTCTCCTCTTAAAATATTTTGCTTATCCATCTGTATTCTTGATGACCACTTACAACCACTTATAATTTTTTCTTTAATCACTTAAATTCTTTATCTAATGACATTTAACCAACTAAATTTATCTATTTCAAATTCTTTCGTCTTTCATGTCTTACTCTTTTTGTCTATCTACACACGGACACCGTGTGTGTATTGACCTCTAGTATACAAGTAAAAAAATATATAGAATCCAAAGAAAATAGTATTGAATAAAGTACATAAACAAGTTCAAAAAATATTAAAAACAAAGGTACTAAGAAAAAATATCCTCTCTGGAAGCTACTTCAGTTGATGCCTTTCATTGTGGAGTTTTACGATCGAATTGCTTTTCCAAATTCTTTCGTCTTTCATGATCGAATTGCTTAGACTTTTACGAGATCTTAACTTGTATTTACCTGCAATTTTCGACCTTCATTTGGCAACGTGAGCTTGTCCGAATGATTATTGAATTACTCTTTTTTTGTCACAATGCAAGACCAAGTCTCTCCAACTGTATAGTGGTTCTGTTCAAATCTCTCTCTCTCTCCAGAACATGAAACTTATTTTCTGACAAGCTGAGCTAAAATCATTCTTCAACATTCGTCCAAACATCTAACTCGAGTGACTCTCTTCTATTTGCTAGTAGAAGATCAGGTGGTGTGGCAGGTAGATATTCTCGGAACGTATAGACCAAAAATGAGAGTGGTAGAGTGGGAATCTAACTGTAGTAGAGGCTCCCACCTCCCGTCGTTTAGTCACAATGTTTACTAGTATCGCTATCGCGGTCCCAGCCCGTAGATTTTAGTACTATCACCAAGGGCGGAGTCAGGATTTTTGTTTATCCCAGGTTAAGTTAAACATTTATACGACTACCAAAATATAAATGTAAACTCATAAACATATATACAATAATACAAATATAAACTCATAAACACTTAGTAATGAAATTGAACTCTTTGATCCTTCCTAAAACAAAAGACATCTACTATTGAATCTGTATCGATTGTTTCCATTATTTCTCTTTCAATATAGACAACTAATGAATCAGTCAAATACTTATTTTCCATCTTGTTACGAAAAGTACTTTTAACATGTTTCATGATTGAAATTGCCCTTTTTGAAATTGTCGTAGAAACGGGAAGAGTTAAAATAAGACGAATCAATCTATCAATCAAATTATAGGATTCTGCCTTATTTGTTTCTACTAAATCACGACAAAATTTTGAAATTTTAGACATACTTTCAAACCTCTCATGGCAAACCACATCAAATCGATAATGATTCAGTTGACATTTCAAATGATACATGTCTTGTCTATCAAAATCAGTTGTATAAAACTTCTCAGCAAGTAAACAAATGTAATCAAGATTGAAAGATTTAAAGTTGTCCTGAGGATCTAAAGCAGAGCTGAGCATAAGCAATTACATTGTCTTTTCATTGAATCTACTATGTAACTCTTCTAACTGATGATCAATCGTAGCATTAAATATGTCCATATGATAGTGATGATCAACTGTAATGTTATCATTCTCTTGACATGAACGTCTTGCCCCTTTAAACAAATGTAATCAAGATTTAAAGATTTAAAGTTGTTCTGAGGATCTAAAGCAGAGCTGAGCATAAGCAATTACATTGTCTTTTCATTGAATCTACTATGTAACTCTTCTAACTGATGATCAATCGTAGNTATAATTTGCAATGATACTTTTTTCAATCGCTTTCAATTTACTTTCTGTCATGCGTGAGTAGTCGTTCACTGGTTTGATCGGATAAAGTAGTTTCATCCATGAATTGCGAATTTTGACTCAAAACTAGGGCTAGTCTACTATCGAGTTATTTGGGTCAATTGAATAGCTTAATTGGGAAGATGTTCAATTGTATATCTTCTTCCTTATCTGTCGACAACTAAGCCTTGGCACATGTAATTCTTGTAATCACTGCAATTGAATTAATTTTGCTAATCTATTCAACTTATTTGGGTACACATTTGTTAATTAAATTGGGTGTTTAACGAATATATACCCTTTGGGTGAAGCCTGACCGTAATCTCAAGTGAGTTATCAAATTTGAGTCAAAATCTATAATCACGGTGGGGTGATCTCTACCGCTGAACCGGTTCTTTTATTTAAGTGTTATTTCCTTAATTAATTTAGTTTTCCAACTCTCAAAATTTTGAATTTTTATTTCCTTTTGTTTTATCACCCCCCTTGAGCCAACTGTTTTACCTAAGGAGACGACTTCAGTAATCAACCGAGTTACACACGATACCCCTTTCCTTCACTTGGCAATTCCTATTAATTGAATACAATTCTGAGGAGGATCTAGACATCATAGCCACGGTAGGCGGTAATGAAAAGAGAATAGGTAGTAACCCGCTTGTTCTGCCTGTTGGTTGGAAAGTTATAGATCGCTTCGATATGAATGAGCAGAGTATTAGCCTCGACCCTGGATGGAGGAAGGCTGAGAAGAGTGCAAATGTTATAAACTGTGGGGCCCATCATGCCAAAATGAAAGTGAACGACATTGTTCACCACGAACTAAAATAGGAGAGCTGTGGTTTGTTGATAAGGATTGTGATAATACTAAGTTCTATAGCATCTTTAATACCGAGGCGACGCCACAGAGTACTCTTGGTCACCTTAATACGAGCAACTCATGATATACAATCAGGGGCAGGGGCCTTCCATGCATGTATAGGATTGTCGCTGAGCTAGCCTGCTCATTGAAGGGGTTTTTGGAAGTTAAAAGGTAAAGATATGTGAGAGACATGGTAGATGCGTCGAACTTCGTCTGGAGGCCTCTCTTTGAAAATAGGCCCAAGGGCCATTTATGAAGAAGAAGAAGAAGAATTAGAGAATGTGTTAAAAGTACAAAGAGTAAACTGAGTAGCTAGCACTTGCAAAAGAGCTGCTTCAAGAGCAACAGTACAAGAAAACTCCATTTAAAAAGAAGAAGAGAAAGTCAGAACAATGACAAAACAACAAGAATGAGGTCGAATTATATAGGCTTAAAGAACAAGCCANTAGGAGACGTATACTTTGCATTTCTTGGAGCTTTCTCTAAGATAATATCATTTATCTCAACATTCAACTTTGTTATCAAACTAATCATCTCAATTAGATTACTACGGTTCTTTGACATTACAGATTCATCATGACCTCTTAAGGCACATCCCTGTAAAGTAAGTCATTGAACACTATCAATGGTAGCCTTAAGACGCAATCGATTTCTCTTTATTTCTTCTGAACTTTGAACATTCATAATTTTATCAATGTATACTGACATATTCTTCAACGCTTCAACATTTCTCACAGCATTATTATGTGTGGAAGCAGGACCTCTCATATGTGACAAGAAAACACATTTGGCCCCATTATTCACTCTCTTCCAACTACTAAAACCATCAATGGTAAATGCAAGATGTATGAGTTCACGACCCTGAAAAACAAAGCATGGAAAGCAAAATGCCGCATCATTTGAAATATAATATTCTAGCCATGGAAATTTTTTGTACCAATTTTTTTGAAATTTTCAATTTTGAACTCTAGTTTTAGTCATCGGATACTCTACCAAGATAAGTTGATTTTGTCCCCACTTTATATAAGCACGTCTAACTTCATCTTGATTATAAGCAGGATGTTTTCAAATCAGAATACGCAATGCAGGATCTCGTTCAATTTCATTCTCATCAAAAGGAATCCTTGGTCCTTTTGTTTGAGGTTAAGGGCCTTGAGATTCAACAGTCGCGGGNTAGGATTTTTATTTATCCCAGGTTAAGTTAAATATTTATACGACTACCAAAATATAAATGTAAACTCATAAACATATATACACTAATACAAATATAAACTCATAAACACTTACTAATGAAATTGAACTCTTTGATCCTTCTTAAAACAAAAGACATCTACTATTGAATCTGAATCGATTGTTTCTATTATTTCTTTTTCAATATAGACAACTAATGAATCAATCAAATAATTATTTTTCATCTTGTTACGAAAAGTACTTTTAACATGTTTCATGATTAAAATTGCCCTTTTTGAAATTGTCGTAGAAACGGGAAGAGTTAAAATAAGACGAATCAACCTATCAATCAAATTATAGGATTCTGCCTTATTTGTTTCTACTAAATCACGACATAATTTTGAAATTTTAGACATACTTTCAAACCTCTCATGGCAAACCACATCAAATCGATAATGATCCAGTTGACATTTCAAATGATACATGTCTTGTCTATCAAAATCAGTTGTATAAAACTTCTCAGCAAGTAAACAAATGTAATCAAG